GTAGTAGATCAGATACCCTGTCGGCTGCGCCCTGGAAGTGGGTAAAGGGTTCAGCTGTTGAGGTGAGCTTGGCGGACATTGAGACGGAGATCTTCCATGTGCCACAGGAAGCTTTGAGTTTAAGCTTGGCTGACAGGGAAGTGGTGCACATTTGGAGGTATCTCTTCTCGGCTCGACTCTTGCATATTGGACTTCCGTCGCTTCGAGAGGATCCGCTTTCAAGCTCCTAGCGCCCAGAGTGAGTCAAACGCCCACCGACCGAGCGGTTTGCCGACAGAAAGACAGGGAAGAAGAATTAGGACTAGGAGAACGGATGGTGATGGCTGCGAGTGCAGAGGCACGAATGAACTTGAAGTGCACATGGTCTTAATGCAGTTTATCGAGCATGAGTGTCGATTTGGATTGGATGTTTCTGGCCCTTGCGCCGTGCCAATTTTGTGGATGCTTTTCGCATCCTGCTGAGGAAAACCCGGCTCCACCGGAGGTGGAGTCGGTGGGGCCCGGAGGCTGCTGTAGCTTCCTTGGTGGAAAAGCACCGCGGATTCAACTGGGATCTCACAACTAAGCCTGTTACATGTGACTGCAGCAGGCCATGATGCGTAAGGAATGCCATGGCAACGGTTCAGGTCAGGCGATAGTCGGAGAGCCGAAGTATGTTGAAAACGTCAAAGGCGGCAAGAGCTCCAACGAAGACCTCTGCGCTGGCCGACACTGCCAAGCAGGTTGTGTTGCAACTGAAGCGGTTTGCTGAAGCTGTTAGTACCCTTTGCGACCCGACAAGGGTGACAGACACGACTTCTGATCCTTGTGAAATCCTTGCTGGGTGAGATTTGCATGCTTGCGTTTCATTGGTTGAAGGTCGATCAGACCGCTGCTGCTGCCCCTGTGGAGCTGTCCCAGAAAAGCCGAGTGGCCGTGGAGTGTGAGATCCATGCATGCAGAGAGGGCAGGTTTCGTGGGCACACTGCTTTGATCTATAGTTCGTGGTTGTGGTTGTGGTAGTTGTTGGTGCTGCTGTTGTTGTTCTTGTTCTTGTTCTTTTTGTTCTTGTTGTTCTTGTTCTTTTTGTTGATGTTCTTCTTCTTCTTCTTGGTCTCAGTTCTCTCTCTGTCTCTCTCTCGGTCTCTATCCCTCTCTCTCTCTCTTGCTCTCTCTGTCTCTCTCGAACTGGGCCCGGTGCATTGCATGTCGTCTTTCAGAAAATTGGGTTGGAGTGTCACAGCGGGACCATCGCATCGAAGTCTATAGCTTGTCCGAGTTTGAGAGCGTGGCTTGCATGCCATAGCAGCTTGGTGAAGATGTGTCTTGAATCGGATGTGGGGTAATAGGTTCGTTCGCATGGCAGACTTTACCGCCTGAAGTCTGAAGTCTTTTCCCCAGAGCCTGAAGTGTCCAACCCATTTTTTGCCTACAGATTGCTAGAGCAAAGAGTGGCCAGGAATTCTTCTGGCCTGGCAACAGACCCCGTGAACGCTTGCATGTACCTTGATGCTGCCGAAACCTGGGAAGCGCCAAGTGACTCGGCCAGTTTGTCATCATCTTTTGGACCCTCTCTCTCTCCTTCTCTCTCTCTCTCTCTCTCTGTCTCGCTCTCTCTCTCTCTGCGCTCTCTCTCTCCCCTCTCTCCCTCCCTTCTCTCCCTCTCCCTCTCTCCCTCTCTCCCTCCGTCTATCTCTCTCTGTCTCTGTCCCTCAGTTTCTCAGTGTCTCTCACTATCTCTCTCTCTCTCTCTCTCTCCCTCTCGCTCGCTCTGCTTGCATATTTACAGTGTACGAGGTTGGTTTTCACTACAGTCATCTTCTGTTGTCTGTGTCTTTCCTCTGCCCTTCCCCTCCCTTCGTCGGCCTGGGCGCGCCGTAGTCTGCCTGGCCACGCACCTTGTTCCTCAAGGCACGTCGCTTTCCTTCAGGCCTTTCTCGAGCCACTCCAGATGTATAAGCAGGCTTTGATTGGCCAAGCGACGGCTTAACGCAAATGATCGGCTCAGCCGATCACTTCCGAGAGCTTCCGAGTCAGGGCCGTCACTCTCCTATGCAGGCATGGATCCAAGAGTCGAGCTCATCTTGGCAAATGGCACCGGCAGCTGCAGCATTCCGGTTCTTCGAGCTCCCAGCCTGGACCCTGCGATGTTCGTTGGGCATTCTTTGCACGAAAACATGGGTTTTGTCCAATTCTCTTCAAAGATTCTCGCCAATTTGAGCTGCAGTCGAGCGTAGGCTAACAAATCAGTCCACGTTTCTAAGTTCGGTCTGATCATGCCACATGCTTGTGATGTTTGGATGGCACGACACATTGATGCCGGCTTTGAGTAACAGCACACTCAGCCAATATTTCGCACTGTCATTCGTGTGACCGTGGTGGGTATGCTTTTAGGTTGAAGGTCTCGCTTGCATTTCCCTGCGAGGATCGTCAATTGGACGAAGCTGCGAGCCTTTTTGTTCAGGCACAGGTCCAGACGGAGTCCAATGGTGGCGCACCTTGCCAGACACTGTGTGGAGATGCTGATTGCATCGCCTTTCGCGATAAGTCTATATGTCTATGATTTTTGTTCGCATTCCATGTCCATGTTGGCTGGAGAGGATAACTATTCAGTATCTTGAATAATTATGAGTGTGTCTTCCTCTTATATGTGGGTGTGTGTATGCATGCACGTACGCACTAGGATGTGTGTATGTATGTATGTATGTATGTATGTATGTATGTATGTATGTATGTATGTATGTATGTATGTATGCGTATGTGTTCGTGCGGACTCGCTACCGCCACCGTTAGAACCGCCAGCGCCACCTCCCCCTCTAATCCCTCAACCCCCCTCCAACAAATGCAAGACAATAAGAATTTGGCGGCAACGGCAGTGCAAAAAGAAGCTACTGGTAGGGCATGGACCGAGACTGTGAGAGCCCTGGGAGTCCTGCAGCGGCCACGGGGACACGCATCGGAGTGGAGCGGGTAGTGGCCGTCTCGCGTGGCGCTTGCAATCTATGCCATCTACGCTCACCTTAGGAACAACCAGAATCTGCCAGAATCGTTTTCCTGAGGGGGTGTTTAGGTACGGAGGAGTTGACTACAGTGACTACAGCTGAAGTTTGATCATGTTTATGATTCGCTTATATTTTATCATATTTCTCATCTAGCCAAGACCGTAAGAAAAGTTCAGGCAAAGTCTTGTGTATCTGAATTTCATTATAGCCTCGCTACAGATCTGCAAACACGAGCTCCGCAATAGACACCAACAAGTACAAGCTCGGTGGTTCGCTTCTTTGCTATTGAAAAACTCGGAGAACACGTTTGCCGAACAGGAGTTAATTGCTTCGAGTTCCCGTTTGATCCGTTAACCTGCTGTCATCTTGTCAACTTTTGTGGGACAGTTAGGCTGTTCTCGCCAGGAAGTTTGTCTCGTTCGGCTGAGATCATAGTACAATGGTTTCATGTATGCGTGGTATTGTGTGTGTGGGCCAGTCCAGTCTCTTCCATGCCAGGATCAAAACTCAAGAGCCCAACGGCCAAACGTTCCGGAGGCACAAGAATGAATCGACAATCTAAACATGGTTGCAATACCTCGCTTTCGATCGGTTCGCGGTTGTTAGCGATTGTATGTGGTGCAGTATTGCTAGGTATTTCTGTTGGCGGTGAGGTGCGGTTCGACACCAGCCACGCAGCCACCAGCCACGTCCGCGTTTCCAGCCCACAACACCCCTCCTCCATCCAGCTCCTTCCAGCTCCATCCATACCTGCACCACATGCACACCTCCAGCCAAGCCACACCCTCCACACCCCTCCAGCCACACTCCCCTCCATGCAGCCCCACAGCCACCCCTCATCCAGCCCCAGGTTTTTAAAACCTTCCCCCATCCATCCAGCCCCAAACGCCCCAGCCATAGCCGTCCATCCAGCCACCCCCTCCCTCCATCCAGCCCCCCTCCCTGATGGAGTGGGTCACAGGTGCTGGATGGAACATGATGGAGGGAAGGCCCGTGGCTGGTGCGATATCGTGTCGATTTCTGCGATGTTGTTTTCTTTGGTGGGGATACGGTTCGGTGACGATACCGACTCGATGTCGATAAAAGTATTGCTGCAACGGCACATGCTAAATTCCCAATCGCCGACAAGTAGTCATGGCTTGCAAACTGCCAATTGAGTCTGCGGACATCCCGCATGAGGATAATGAATCTCGGGGTAAATGATGCTGAGTCTCGGGGGCTGGCTGATGAAGGGAACAATACCAGCAACAAGGACATACACCTATGCTTCAGATCTGTGTGCAGCTTGTCGTTTGAAGTTTATTGTTCGAGATCCGCTGTTGGTGGGTGGAACGCTGCTGTCCGGCTTGGAAATCATGTTGAATGCATGTGTGTTTTCTCATTTTGTAGCTCGAAGTCTTTTGAAATCGTGCTGAAAGCAGGGTAAGGTCTTGATCAAGGTTTTGCTAGCCAGGCAACATTGTGAATTCATGGTTGTGTCGTATGTCGGAGTGCTTTGCCAGTACAAGCTTCCTGGGTAATTTGTAAGTAACTAGTCTTTTTGAATGTCAGTTACATAAGTTAACTGGAACTTGTGAGGTGGTAATTCATCAGCTGTTAATCATGTTGGCAAGAACTTGTCCAGCTGCCATTTTGCAGGATTTTTCATGTGTAGTTAAGCAGAACCGAGGAGTTGAATCAAGTTGCTGAGCTTGAGCTAGATTTTCAATGTCCAGAGCTCGTGTTCACGTAAGTCTGATTCTGCCCCACAGTCTTGTATTCTACTCGGGTTGCTGTTCACCCTGGATTGGGTTGGAGTGCAACAACACGTCCAGCTTCAAAATGTTCGGATGTCCACCATCCAGCTTCGGCTTGTGTCTGCATCCTTTGATAAGTGTGCCCGTGTCGCTGGAGGAGCTCTTGCAAAAACCAGGCTTTTGAGCTGATGTTGCATTCAACAAAGACTGTCATGTCAACAAGGCTTGAAGCTTTTAAGTATGGTACACCATCCGTTAGCTTTCATGGATATGTAAAGTGTGTATGCAGGTACAGGCAAATTGCAGCCTGTTGTTATCAAAGGTGCTCCGTGCGGTAACTCTGCCTGGAAAGTGTCGTGCCCTGAAACGCCACTTCAAGAACGAGAGGGACCTGGTTTTCGCTTAGGAACATGGCTTGGCACGTCGGTCAGTGTTTGGAGCCACCGTCATCCAAATTTGTGCTGCTGCGACTACTGCTGATCCTACAGCACCGCAACAGCAACAAGCACATACAAGCACAACCACAAACAACAAGACCAACGAGTACTACCACTACCCCTATCACTACCACTACCACTACCACT